TATACATTATTTCTAAATAGTAATATAACCATTTTCATCAATCATTAATGAAAAACTAAGCAGTAATGAACTAGTTTCAGCTACTATTTCCATAAGGAAACTTATAAGTAAAACTGTCCTCTTAAACAGTAAGCTAACCAGTTTCATCTAATTTTTAATTTTGGAAATGTGAAATTAGCACCAAAGTTTATTAAGTCCCACCCAACCCCCTTAAACATTAAAAAAAGACTAATTTTAATTATTCTTTAGGAATAGTAAAGATTTCTACCAAGATTTTTAAGAAAAAACACAGAATCCATACCTGAAGTATACCGGCAACAATCAAAATCCAAAGCATGGAAAATAACCTGAAACAGGGAGAATTAAATCTATAATACCATTAAACACATCATAATTATCAAATATATAATAAATACCATTAAACACATCATAATTATCAAATATATAATAAATACCATTAAACACATCATAATTATCAAATATATAATAAATACCATTAAACACATCATAATTATCAAATATATAATAAATACCATTAAACACATAATAATTATCAAATGTATAATAAATACCATTAGACACATCATAATTATCAAATTTGTGATAAATACCATTAAACACATCACAATTATCAAACGTATAATAAATACCATTAAACACATCATAATTATCAATTATATAATAAATACCATTAAACACTTCATAATTATCAAATATATAATAAATACTGTTAAACACAACATAACTCAACAAGAATTATTATATAGCCAAAAAGAAGTGATTTTACAGAATGGACATGTGTCTAATATGACCCTGATAGATAATCTTCTGGACAATTATCATAGTAAGAGTTTTACTTCTACAAATCATCAAGTATTTATATTTTATTCACATGAACAAAGTAGTTCATTGTACATATTTTTGTTTCAAAAATACCCTCCCCCCAAAAAAAACAAAAAAAAAACACACATTATATATATATACATATATCATAACATACCATTACTCCATAGTTGGAAACAAACAACAATACACAAAGAGCAAGAATATTTACATATGAAATTGATTCTAACAATGAATTCAAACACCAGACGTATTTTGCTACATTAACAATAACGAAACATTAGTAACGGAATAACACAAAAATATTTTCAACAGTGAAAATATTAGTATTCTGATTCAATTAATGTACATACAAATGTTGTGAAACACTTCTTATGACAAACGAGTGCAAGTTTTGCATGATAGAGGTAGGTAATTAACATAATTACCCATCAGCATCAACTACATCAGTTAGTATTATGTAAAATAATCAATTAATCAAAATTATGGTGAACTTCACGAAAATAGTTACCTAGATGACATCAGTGTCTTGTGCTTTTTGTCTTTGTACTTATATATAATCTCTGTATGCTCAGCTACAGATCATATCTGAAGAAGACAGACCAATGTTCTGTCGAAACATGTATATTCTCCCCAAAATAAGTCACTTCAATATGCTTATAAATCATACTTTTCCAACTTAACATTAAGGTACAAACTGTAATGTGGAAAGGATAAGATTGAACTTACAGAGGATTCACAATATACAAGATAAAATCTCTACTCATAAGACTTAGATGTGAAAAAAACAACAACTGAAGAGCAGATATGTTTTCACATTTAAAGCTACGTCCTGCTGTGAGAAGGTAATGCTAAAACATGTTACTATATTGTACCACTGCTCGTGATATGTTGAGCCAACTGCCATAATGGTCACATGTTAAAACAGGTTAACTTTTTTTAACTTTCCTTGACATTTTTATTTCAATTTCCCACCGTACCATTTGTTTTATTCTCCTTGACATTTTTATTTCAATTTCTTACTAGACAGTTTGTTTTATTCTCCTTCATATTTTTATTTTAAATCCCCACTAGACCATCCATTTTATTTTCCTTGACATTTATATTTTCTACTGGACCATTCGTTTTATTTTCCTTGACATTTTTATTTCCTACTAGACAATTTGTTTTATTCTCCTTGACAATTTTATTTCAATTTCCTACCACTCCATTTATTTTTTGTTAAAAATTAACAAAAAAGGTGTCAGAAATTCAACCTGTTTTTTAGAACAAGTAACTGATAATAATCCACACTTTAAGTGTGTGAGTTAGAAGGGCATTATAGTTGAGCTAAGTTACTTGAAAATGTTTCTCTCTTCTACTCCAACTTCTGGGGAAAGGTTATCCCGTATCAACAAAAACAACATCTCAGCTTATAACACGCAGTGTCAAATATGTCCAAAGTATAGTTTTTCTGTGGCAGTTTCATGAGCATCACTTCTTTTAAAACCAAAAACTTTGTTGTTGCCTTAATATTTAGATTTAGGACTAACCTAAATCTCTTAAGCAGAGCAAACTGCTTTTGTGAGATAAATTTCAGATTAAAGGTAAATATTCTGTTAATCAAAAGGATATAAAACTGATGATTCAGTGCATCCTAATCATTATATGTTTTAGTTCTCTGGTATACTGACTACATCGTTACAGATTTCTAGTCAGTTATACATACACATGATTACAGTAAAAATCCAAAACTCTGAAAATTTGACAAGGTCAAAGTTCAAGGCCATTAGGCCGAATTGTCTGGGGTCCACTGAGGGCTTCAGAAGTTGAAGCATTTTAAAATCTCTGTGGTATGTTTTACTGGCTCCAAATGTAATGTTTTTACTAGCCAGTTTTTATTCATGTAACTCTCTGTGGTATGTTTTCTTGGCTCCAAATCTAATGTTTTTACTAGCCAGTTTTTATTCATGTAACTCACTGTGGTATGTATTATTGGCTCCAAATCTGATGTTTTACTAGCCAGTTTTATTCATGTAACTCTCTGTGGTAAGTTTTACTGGCTACAAATCTAATGGGTTTACTAGCCAGTTTTTATTCATGTAACTCTCTGTGGTATGTTTTACTGGCTCCAAATCTAATTATTATTCATGTTAATGTTATTTCTTCCCGATATTTTCTCAACAGATTTATAAGTTTGTTACAAATGGCATTGGGCAACCCATAAAACTTTAAAATTCACAAGCTGTGGAAAATGATCACGTCTCTATACAGGATTGTCATCATTTATATCCATGTTGTTTTTATTCTTATCTACACTTTTAGCTTACTTTTGGTCAGACTTTCTAAATACTTTTAATCTGTGGTTAATTATGAAAATTCTATACCCTGCTCCCCATGTGCTGAAGTCTCTTTTGGATTGAAAAGTATACAAAGTCAGTCCAATGGTGACAGCCATAGTCAAGACAAAGGCTTGAAGAACAGCTAACTGATCATAGAAGGTCACTAGAAACAAAAAGTAATATTTTCATTATTTACATTTATCTTCAAACCTTGCTTCAAAAAACATAATAAATACTTGTTACCTTTTGTTATGTTTTAGTATTCCATATGATAATTCATTATTAATTAGCAATTTTTTTTTATACCTTATTATTATTATTACTTTTATAACTAGATACTAATTACTAACTAATAATGCTTGGAGACGACTTGAATGGGTAATGAAGAAAAACTTTCATATAAGTTTAACATAACAGCAAATGTACAACGTTTCGAAAGGGGTTCTGTCATCATCAGGTACCACGCCATCTCCAAGCATTATTAGTCTCAAAGTGGGTTCCTAGTCATCGAATGTTAATCACCAACTAGTTCTTATCCTATGTTTCAACTGCTAATCTGCTGCCATCTTCAGGGAAGTACTAAAACTACTGAGTTAGTAGTGTCTGGGATTCAACTGTGGATCTTCTTGATAGAAAATCTGGTGTGTTATTCACTCAATAAAGGGGGATACCTCATTAGAACTCTTCAGCTGTTAATATATTGCCATTTCAGAGAAGTCCTGAGAAGGAATATTTCTGTATTGCTAATGGCCAGGATTTGATGCAGTCTTCTTTGTATAAAGATTTGTGAATTATCCACCCAACTGAGGAAGGAGTCACCCCATCAGAATTTTGATTCAAGTTCTAAAGAAGAAGACATCCAGTCAAGTGGATAATGTACAAGAATTTCTACGAAGAAGCCTCAGTGTCAACTTCCAGCCACCACCAATACAGAAAACAGATCAGTAACTAAAATGTAAAAAAACTAATAAGTAATAATTATCTAGTTATAAAAATATAAAAAAATAAATTTAAAAATTAAAACATAAACAAATAAAAAGAAAAATGTTGCTACTTAATAATTAGATGACACAAACTCCTAAACTTAAACAATGATTAATATCCAATTGCCACAACTTTACTGTAAGTACCGACTGTTACTCAATAAAAAAAGTTACAATAAGATTAGTGTACACAACTGTTAATAATCCTTGAGCCTAGCACCTTAAAACATCTTTTACCTGACTTACTAAAACTAGAACACACATTTGGTAACAACAGTTTGAAAACTTAAAACATTTGAATTACAACCCACACTGTATGTAACAGTCTAAGATTGACCAACAGTGAAGTTCACTATATGTTTTCTTATCAGGTCCATTTTACAGATATTTGGATGTCAAATCTCTTATATTTCTTAAAACAGATATCAGAGATATCCAAAAAGATGTTCCATTATGAAAAGATTATGAATATTTCCCAAGTTAAATAACATATAAGCATAGCACTTACCAACAACTGAAACTGTATAGGCTTCTGCAAAAGTCTGATATCAACAAAGAAAAAAAAAAGTAAAACATACACATTCAGAACCAAATAAATATTTTTCCAAAAAATTAATGTAAAGCTGTGTTCAAATTAAAAATAACCAGCTTTTAACTAAACAACAGGAGACAAGAACAACATAATAAGCTTCATAACTATACTTTAGGATTTAACTATGAGAAAAATTACATCCTGAAAGAAATTTTCAAAAACTTTTACTCACTTTTTGACACTAACACTGTTAAATTCCTGTGGGCAAAATTATAATTATGACTGTGGATCTGCTAAATGATTTCAGCAATGTGTTCATTGAATAAACAAAGGTAAAAACACATACAACTATTTAAAATAAGTCTGCCATACTTCACAATTTGGCAAAACATTATTTCTATACAACATACCTCAAGTGAATAGAAAGCTTTACTCCAAAGCATCAAAAGCAACAATTTCATTTTCTCATCTACAAAAACTTAATTTATTAAGTCAATTTAAGTAATTTATTTCAGGCAATTTACACACATAACAGATGTACAAATGAAAAATGCATGTTTTCAATAGTAGTTTAGTTTTATTTACAAAGATGATTTTCATTTAATGTTTATACCACATGAGACTATACATATTAGTGAAGGAGCTGAAAAAATACCACATAGCTCTAAGTAACTTAAAAAGCAAATAAAACCGAGTTAGATAACATTTTAATTACAGTTGTGGTACTAGTGTAGTAGCTGTTTAAATGAATAAGAAGAACAATGTATCATGCTTTACCAAAGCAGATGCAGATTTTTGCTTCTAGTGGAAATGAAGACTTTGGATCTGTATTTCTAAATACGCCATATACTCTTGCTGATATACTAACATAGGACTAAAAACAAATTATTTTGCAAACTGATTACTTAAACACAAGTCAGGAAAACTTTAACCCATTGTCTGCTGATTTGCCATATAGGGTACACTCTGCCTCTGATACTTGAATGTAAGTGTGCCATATATGGTGTATGGCTTGCAAAAATTCTGCACACAGTAAGTGGGAGGGGATGAGTCAAAAACAATTATTGGCAACTCAGACAATTTTCCATATCCTTTGCTCATATTTTTTCACTCGGCTGGGCAGTAACCATCAAAATGCTGAGGAGGAGAGTCAACAACTGTGGGCTACCCAGTCAGCAAAGAAACTCCCAACTACTACATAGATTTGCTGGATGCCCTTGACTCCGACAGCTAGAGAATAGCGATGGTAAGTCTAGTAGTTTTAATTTTGCTGAAGATGTGGAGGAACGAAGACGAGAGGAAAAGGAACAATATGCAGTAATGATGAGGTTGGGCCTACCAAATGAAAGGGTAGATGGAGGGGGCATATGGCTGCTTCACCACATGATACATGGACAGAGGCTGCCATTAGCTTCACACCAACACAATTTTCTTTTGATCGAAGGTACTCGGGTCTAACAAGTGCTTGTTCTGTGACTGATGCTTCCAAGGAAGTGGACTATTTCTCAAGAGTTCTTTGATAGTGGTTTGATGGACATGAAATCAACACTGCCAGAATTTTCTTCAAGCAGTAGACTAGGAAAATTCATCGACACCATCAGAGATGAACATTAGCATTTTCCTACACTGAAAATTTATTTCCAATAGATATTTGCTTCCTCTCACAGAATGGATTTTCTCAACTAGCACTGTCCTCTATCAGCACAAATTTTCCATGCGTGCCACTAACCTTCCACCTCCCACTTCTGCATATCCACATGCAAATTATCATGTAGCAGCTCTCCACCAATAGGAGCACAACACCACTCTTATCGTAACCAGTGCCCACTTCATATCTGCACTCATTAATCATGTCAAGATTGGTCAGAAGGCCTACACCATATATCATCAGAAGTAGGAAGGCTGGGTGTGAAATGTGAGAAGAGGTAAGTATCTATCAGAAATACATTTTCACTGTAGGAAAATGCTAACTTCCGAAACGATATCTCATCTCCGCTCACAAAATACCTACAATCTTAAATTGAACTGGTGGAGAGCCAATAAAAAAAATATGATCACACTTTATGAAGCAAAAAGAGACGAGGAGGTGTGGAATCAAAAAGAGAAAACATCACAACTCAGTAGAAGATTGCACCAGATATGATACAGGTATACTCTTCAATCATTTACGATACTGTCGTGAACGTAAAAAGCAGAAACATGAAGGAATCCCAGAATATGTATGACCAATAAATGGTATCCTGTGTGTTGAGTGACTAGGGTACAACATAGCGTAGTGGTAGTTTGACCTCAACCAACACCAGGCAGTATCTGGAATGATACATCATATCCGCGGTAGGGAGAAGAACACCAACCTCTTCACCTCGAAACGGGAATTGGGAGGGAAGACGAGCTTCCATATCAAAATCTGTCACCACTTGCACACATTTCCAACTCAAACATACCCAAATCAGCCGAAAACCGACATCCAGCAGATGGTAGGAAGGTGGAAAGCCCCGGTGGAATGACATCTCTGGTCAAAAACCTGATGGCAATGGGTATAGTACTTTCAGTCTGTGGTAGGAGGAGGATATCTGGCCGTTCACAAGCAGGAAAATATATGCTGTGTCCAGTTATAACCAACACCAGATCTCCAAGGAACCAGCATCCCAGATATGGTAGGAATATGGATCTCAAACCTGGGGTACATTTTCAGTCCAAAACCTGGCAGCAGTGGGCATAAGTCATCCAATCCAAGGTATGAGGAGGGAAACCGGCCAGCACACGTGAGGACTTACTTAGCTGGACCATCTCCAACCAACACTGGACCCACTGGGAAGTATTAGGTCATCAAGAAATTAATGTCAATTTTTTAGATGAAAAAACCCGAACAACTTATATATCAAAACAATGCAGCGAATGAAAAAGATGGTAATCTGATGGTGCCATATCTGGAGAATATGGTGGGTGGGGGATAACTTTCCAACCCAAATCCATAATCTTGTGTTGCGTCAAACGTGCCACATGTGGACGTGCATTGTCATGGAGAAGAATAGCACCTTTCCGATTGATGAGTGAAGGGTGTTTCTGATGAAGGGCTAGATTTAAATGTTCCAGTTCCTGACTATAGATCTATGCATTGACAGTTTGCTGTGGATTGAGGAGTTCGCATGAATTACTCTTTTGATGTTCCACCAAATGCAAAGCATCACTTTCTGCGGATGGAGTCCAAGTTTTAGGGTCAGAAGTGTTTTTTTGTTAAAGACTGAGCCACTGTTTTTGGCATTTAATATTCACATAGAGAATTTATGCGAGATTTAATAGAAAAGTTATGTCCCACAATCAGTTTTTACAGTTATCACACATCCTACATTGTACTGACAACACCCAGCTTATTGGTGGTGACAAGCTACAAAAAGTGAAACTTGTACTTGACCAGCTTCTAGATTTATGGATTGATGAGAGTCATGTTGTGGGATGGGTGACTTAGGCTTAAAGCAGTACATTTCATCAAAACAACATCAGAGTGAAAATCTGTATTTTGTGATGTAGAAAGTAACTACATGCATGATTTTATAATCTATATAGGAAAAGATAATGAAATAGATTGTGATGCAGAACTTGGCATTTATGGTTCAGTGGTAAAGACATTCATGTCAGGTCATGTTGGTAAAGGACATATATTGTATGTCAACAATTCGTACACTACCCTACTGTTCCACTATTTACACAAACAGAATACTGGTGCATGTGGAACAGTGCGAGCAAAGCGAAAATTTCTGCCAAAGCTATTGAACGTAAAGAGTGGTGAAACAGTGTCACGGCACTGTGTTAATATTTTATGTGTAAAGTGGCAAGACAACCTTGTTGTGCACATGCTAACCACTGTGCTTCTCACTGTCTATACTTATATACAGTTCTCATAAGCTGTATTGAGTGTGGGAGAAAGGGTACAAGGTGGTACATCAAATGTTTTTTTCACAGCGCTAAACACTTTTGATATGTACCTAGTGAAGACTGGCAAGAAACCAAAACTGCATGATTCTAGTAAGGCAATTATTCACCAATTGTTTGCCAGATACTAAAGGGCCAATGCATCATCAAGCCATCACATAGGTACTTGTCAATCATGTTTAGTGAAAACGCACTTTCCTGAACCTATCCCAACCACACAAGGTAAAATAAGAGCACGAAGCAGGTGTCACACTTGCCCCCACACTACTCAAGGGCAGAAAAAATTTCAAAAACAAACTACATGTGTATAGACTGTGATATTCTTCTGTGCGTACACTCAAGGTTCCGGGCATACTGTACTAAAAATAACTTAACAAGGGATATCCAGAACTAGCAGTTCATAATTCTAGACAGACAGACTAGAGAGAAGGTAGGTAGTTAAAAACATCCACCATTAACTTTTGGGCTACTCTCATCTGAATAGAGAAACTTGACAGACATTCTTATAAGCCCATGTATGGCCCCAAGAAGAAGACTAGGTTCTTTCATAGCTTAAAAGTTGGCCAAAACATTTACTATTCTAAGACATAATTTAATGCACCACTACCAGCTCCTTCTTTCAAACACCTAAACAACTTTCTAACACAACTTATATAAAATTTTCACCTGCAAACTACAAACTTTATCAATTTTTTCAGTACAGTGACTTATAGAAATGGTTCCACACAGGCAACATTTCAGTGTTCAATTTCAGTAACAAAGTAAACACATCATAATTTTTTGATTTATTTGGTTGATCCTTAATTTTATCTTGTCACAATTTACTTACAACTTTACAAGCTGGTGTGAAAAAAGTTAATGTGGTACAGTGATGCAGGATTACTGTAGCTGGCAGGGAAGAGTAGTTGGTACACTGGTCTAGTTGGCAGGGAAGAGTTAGTGTGAATAAATCATGCTGAACTATCTGGTGTTAAGGAATGGTTAATCAGTATGCTAGACCAGCTGCATGGTTTAGTTTGTTTTAAATTTCACATCAAGCTACATGAGGATTATCTGCACTAGCCATTCCTAATTTAGCAGTGACAGACTAAAGGGAAGGCAACTAGTCAGCACCACCAACAACCATCTCTTGAGCCTACTCTTTTACCAAAAAATAGTGGTATCCATTGTCACATTATAATGCATCCATGGCTGAAAGGGTGAGCATGTTCAGTGAGTGAGATTTGAACCTGTGATCATCAGATTATAAGTTTAGCACCTTAACCACCAGGCCATCAATGAGTATAGAACAACAATGCTGGACTAGCTGACAGGGAAAAATTAGCTAGTATGCTGGATTAGCTGGTATGGAAGAATTAGTACAATGATGCAGGATTACTGTAGTTGGTGTCAGGCAAGAGTTAGTCAGCATACTAGAATAGCTGGTAAGGAAGGGTTAGTCTGTATGCTGGACTAGTTGGTGTGGAAGGGTTAGTCAGCATGCTTGATTAGCTGGTAAGAAAGAGTTAGTGAGTACAATGTGTTAAAATATTTTCATACAAAACACTACCAAATCTATTTAAACCTACATTCACCTATGTTATATATATATATATATATATATAGCATGACTTAATCTCTATTTGTTTCAACTTCATTTACTGCTCCAACATGCATTACACAGAACATTCACTTGTACAAATTATTAAAGCTTTGAAATTGTAAAGTGTTATTAGTTAAACTTCAAAACCCCAGTGTACATGGATTGTAAACAGTTTTATATTTAAACCACTTACAAAAGCAGTTAGAAGAATGTAGTTTAATGGAGTCTGTCTGCTTTTCACCATCAGAGCTACAAGTAGAACCAGAGACAGCAGGAAAGCAACAGTCAACATCCAGTCACTAGGAAATACATATTTCACATGAAAACTTGTTTACACTTAATATTCACTATGCACATCTTTTTGTATTTCAAGATCAGAAACTTAAACAACCTGTTGTTTACAGGACAATTCTTACATAAACTATAGTGCAGAACCAGAACAGTAACTGTATAAGAGTTGTTTACATATGCATCTTATTCAGGAACATAATTGGCACTATTCATATTTCTATGAAAAAATATTAAACATTTCCATAAAGATTTACACAACCATAGACCTATATAGTCCTCCACATATAAAAAGGTCCAGATTAAATCTTGGACAATATCTTAATCTGACAATTTTTATCCTTAATTCCTGTTTTATACAAAGTTCCTCAAGTAGGAAGATCAAAATTGTTTCTGATGTTTTGAAAACTTGTCCTGACAATGAAAATATCAGTAATTGAATTAATGAATTATAATATCGGAATAAAATTACATACTGAATCTTACAATGGGTGTAGATTTAAAAAAAAACACTATATATTTTTCAGCAAGTCTGTATATGCAAAACTTAATCAACTGGTATCACTGCATATTATCTTTTGGTCAAATGCATTACTTAGTTATTCAGTTTTGCCTAGATGTGAGGTGAATCACAGCAATCCAAATGCGTATCTAACTGGTTTCTTTAATAAAAGATATGTTATCATAACAGAAGCTTTCACTAACTAATACAGTATAAATTATTTGTGTCTCTCACCATATACTTACATTATATATACATATATATATATATATAGAGAGAGAGAGAGAGAGAAATGCATTCACATATATTATCCATATATACTATAGTCACACACACACACACACACACATTATTCTTCAGTTTATTCCCATTAATTTAAAACTTAGATTTTATTTAGCTCTCTTGATACAGGTTCAGTCAATTCAACAGAGTTCACGACCCCAAAGTATTCTTACTATAACTTTAAATGTTTTGTGTATCTTAATCAAATTTGGCAAGCTTTCATTGAACATTACAGGAGTTTTGTACACAAAAAATCAGATTTTTAATTAAGTATTTTATACTAAAAATTTTTCCATGAATATAAGAAATCAGTACTGACTGTTCTAAGTGAAAAGAGATTTTCATGTTAAGATTAAAAATACTTTTTTTATCTAAAAATTGTGAAATTTCATTTTTGTAATCTCTAAAACCTCCAAGATAAATATTAAAGATATTTTTCAGCAAAACTTTATATTTTATCTGTTATTTTCTTTACCCTAATTCTCTACTCAGTTGGTCAATTTAACAGACCCCGTACCCACCATAACAAAATTTGAAATAATTCTAAATTACTTTTCATTTTCTTTCTAAAATCACTGTAAATTGTAGCATGGAACTACAATTTCTTATCCTAAATGCCTTAAGGCTAATAACAATCTACATCTATTTATAATTAATTTTTTGTTTTATTGTCCTTTGAACTGTGTATAACTAATAATCCTGCCGCACAAGTTGTCAATCACTCGGTGAATGTGTAGCTCATGCCTATGTACTGAATTACACAACACAAAAGCTTCTCACAAGCATACCTTGTGAAGAATTATTTATTTATTTTTTATTATCTTACCTAATCTGACCTAATAAGTTTATAATATAATTTATTTTAGTTATTTTTATAACATAGAATATATATGAAAAACAAGAAACAGTATTTACCTGGATCCTCTTGTTTCTTTGCTGTCAACTGTCAATGAAACTGAAGCCTGCTTTTTATATTATTGGTAATACAACACTAAATTTTTATTTAATTAAATAATGCACCTAATAACACAGAATTACAAAACAGACAAAGCAAACAATGTCCTATAACAACCATAATTTTGCTGGCATTCTATCTATGCAATAATAGCCTTTAAAATTCAGCTAAGCTTGTCGATGTGAATACTGCAAGAAAAAGTTTCAAACTGTAGGAGAAATAGACAATGCTCTGTACAGAAGACAACATATGTCATTTCATAGATTAAAACTTTTGTTTTCTTTTGGTTATAAATAACACAGTATAAAATAACAAAGAGAACTACTGGCAGTTTGTAAAAGAGAGCATATGACAGGTGGATGTGACAAGTGAGTTTGATCTTCTAGTTTATGGTTCCATAAATAAGATAGTAGGCTATAAAATGTATGCTTTGCCCAAGTAATAACTATATTGTAGCACATCATTTATTTTATATTCCATACTTCTCAAAGGGCTGGTCAATAAATTAGAGAAGAGGGAAGACCTAGAGAATAAATATCACAAATCGCATATTATGCGAGATTGAGGATTTTTCTTTAATTTTCCTAATTGAATTAAGAACTTATATAACATCAAAATTTGTTTTATTAACTATGTTTTAATGCCAAGTTTATTCATGTGCAATGATAATAAAGTAGTTTAATTAAATTTTGAATGTAACACACTTAAAAAGTCGTGACATATGCACTTTGATGTAGCAAGAGGATTAAAAGTTACTGTTTCATTACACTTTACTATGTGATTTCCATTACTTTCGTAATTTATGTAGCATGAATAAAGTAAAAGCATACTCGTCATTAGCTAGACCTATGAAAACTATGTGGCTATGATGGTTACCCCCCCAATACAAAAAATATATGGAAAATAGTTTCATGGCAGAAATAAGTTAATAGAACTGGATACTATGTGTTATGTAAAATCATATAACTTAGTAATTTTAGTACACCAAAGCAACAGTAACTTTGTATAACAAAATAAAACTCAACCTTGTAATGTATATAAACCTACCAATTTAATTTCCTTTTCAAATCTGTCTGCACGTTTTAATACATTAACCAATCATGTTCACATATTCATAATTGCAACAGTTAAGTTCTTCTTTATATTATTATGTCACACAATATTTGCACATTGGCTACTGGTATATAACTTCAAAGAAAAGAAAATACTGCTCACTACATAAATGTTAGGATCAATTAAGGCATCTTAACCTCATCGTAGTGGATAGGGGTCAGAGAGGTATCACGTTTGTAGACTTACATTCAAAATATTGTTATGACAGCGGAAGTCACGTGACGCTGGTAACACGTGATAAGTTTCTAGAAGGATCATAAAGGCCCGAGTGTTTGCCAGATGCCCTCTATTTTTGTATATAAGCCCGGCAAATAAAGCGGCGATATCAATTGCAGATAGGGACATATAGAGACAGATAATCGAGTCAAGTCGTAAGTAAAGTGCATGAATCATTGTAAATTATAGCGTGTGTTTAAGTTAAAGTGACTGTGGAAATTAAGTGTATTGCAAAGTTGTATTAAGAAAGAATAAACTAGTTTTATTTAAGAAAGTATCGCTGAAGTTCTTCGGAAATAATTTTTACAGGAAATTAACAAACGACCAGATACGCAACAAATTAGTGTCAGAAGTGGGATCGATAAAAAAGTAAAAAGAAGAAAAAAAAAGATGGAAACGAGAAGTGCCAAATCAAACTACAGCTTAGCAGATTTGATGGCAGCAATACAAGAACAGCAAAAGAAACAAGAAGAACGAGAAAAGAAACAAGAACAGAGATTACAGCAGTTGTTGGAGAAAAAAGAAAAGAAACAACAGCAGTGGCAAAAAAACCTGCAACAGTGGCAGCTCGACCAGCAAAATAAACAAGAGAGACTACAGCAGTGGTTGGAGGAGAAAGAAAATAAACAAGATAAGCGATTACATCAGTGGCAACTGGAACAAGAAAGGAAACAGGAAGAAAGTCTCCAACAGTTACAGAAAAGTCAACAACAGTGGCAATTAGTACAAATGGAAAACATTAGTAAATTTCAAAGTGAATTAAATACATTAAAGGATGATTCACTGTCTTTTACACAAGGAGGATATATTAGCCATGGACCTAATCAGCCTCAGACAATG